CAAGGTCACGTCGGTGCCCGCGGAGACGAACTGCGCGGGGGCGGCGTCGCGGTCCGATGAGACGGTGATAACGGGCGGGTCCGGGCCGTCTGCGGGCGGGGCGGGCGGTGAGGATCGGAGGAACCCCTGACTCCTGCGCCCCAGGACGCGGCGGGCGGTGAGGATGGGGGGGATCCCTGACTCTCGACCCCTGCGCCCCAGGATGGGGCGGGCAGTGAGTATGGGGGGATCACTGCCCTCGACCCCTGCGCCCCAGGACGGGGCAGGCGGTGAGGATTGGGGAGACCCCCCCACGCCGCCCCCAGACCTCTGAGACCCAGGAAATGGAGACTCCCGGCCGGACCCGTGCACCCCCTCACAGAAGACGCTGACGAGGGCCGCGGCCTGGCGGTGGCCGAAGGGGCTGCGGACGATGCAGGTGTACCGGGCCTGGTCCCCGCGCCCCGGGTGCGCGATGCGCAGCTGGTCGCCTTCAGTGCGGATGCGGGGCGTGGCGCCGCCCTCGGGGTCCGTGGCCTCCAGGGCGCGGCCATCGCGGCTCCAGCTCAGCTTCCCGCGACCGGGCTTCCACCCCACGCAGCGCAGCCGGAGTTCGGCCGCCCCCTCCTCGATCTCGGGGGCCTTGGGCTGCACCGACAGCGGGGGAAGGGGCTCTGGAGAGGAGAGGAGAGCTGAGGTCGCGCAGGGCCCGTCGGGGGACTGCGCCAGGAGCTCACTCTTGTTTGGGATTGGGGGGGCATTTTCTCCTCTCAGCAACGGAGTCCAGCACCCCACCCACCCCCACTGCCCAAGAGTCGAAGCTCGCAGGGCTTCCCAACAGACCGCAGACTTGGGGGTCTAAAACCCAGCCTCCTCCCTCAGACCCTGGGGTCCAAACCCCAACCTCCTGCCTCAGACCTAGGGGTCCAGACTCAGCTCTCCATCCTCAGACCCAGGGGTCCAGACCCCAGCCTCCCCCCTGAGACCCAGGGGTCCAGACTCAGCTCTCCACCCTCAGACCTGGGGGTCCAGACTCCAGCCTCCTCCCTCAGACCCGGGGGTCCGGGCTCCCTATCTATCCTGTCCCCTCTCCCTTCTCCTCCCTCTCCCTGACACCTGTCCCCGTCCCAGGTGACTTCTCCAAGATCTCCGGGCCTCGGGACCCACTTACCATACACTTCCACTGTGAACTCCCGAACCTGCCGAGACACCCCTCCCCGGATCACCTCCACCGTGTAGACACCCGCGTCCGACATCTGGGCAGAGGCCAGTTCCAGCCCCCCTCCTGCCCTGTCGAAGCGCAGGCGCTCGCGATGAGAAGGGTCCAGGCTGAGTAGGGGAGCCCCAGGGCCCAGGGCCCCGGCTGCCAGCACCTTCGAGCCCTGTCGCCAGACCACGAGGGGAGCAGGGGGGCCAGGACTGGGGGCTGGAGCCAGGGGGAGGCGGATGGTGGTCCCCACTAGCACAGCCAGAGGGCCCCCCACCTGCTGGGGGAAGCTTTCCGCGGGATGGGTCTCGAAAGGAACTTGGAATCCAAGGCCGTAGGGGGAAAGTTCAAGGTCCTGACTCTTGGAGGGGAGTTTGGAACCGGGAGCCTCGCCAGATGCTTTGGTATCTTGAGCAGAAGCGTTGGAAGCCAGGGTCTTCGGGGAGAAGGGAGGCGTGGCATTTGGGGCAGGAATTTGAGCCCCTGAGATGTCAGGAAGTGCTTTGGCGCCTGAGAGCTCAGAGGTAGGGTCAGAGCTGGGCGCTCCTGTCTTGGTTGAAGCATGTGGCCACCGGGACCTGGCCCTGCCATTTCCACTGAGAGACTCGGGAAACAGGGTGGGATCAGGGATCTCACCAGCCGCTGGGGAACCCACAGACCCATCTGAGTTCAGGCTTGGGAGTCCAGTGGAGGGGATTTTTGAACCTAGACCCTGAGAGGAGTTGACTGCATCTAAGGAGATAGAGCCTTGCTGAAGTTCTAGAGGAAGGATCTGGACTACAGAGCCTGTAAAGGAAAGAGGGGAAGCCATGGGTGTGGGGGGGATTAAAGGGGAAAGGGGCTGCTGAGGGGGGAGTTGAGCAGGTAACTTACCCAGGAGTAGGAAGAGGAGCAAAGCCCACGAGGTGCCCATGCTGCCCACCACACCCGAGAGAGGTGGACTGGAGCAGGACCCAGCACCTGCATGGGAGCCTCCTGGGTCAGACGAGTTGGACAGGAATGATGGCTTAGCTTCTTGGGCAGGGAAGGGAGCCAGACCCAGTGGGAGGTGCCAGGGGCCTCCAGTGAGCTCTGGTGGGCCACCCCACCCTACTTGCCTACATCATTGGTCAGGCCTGTTTGTGGATGAAAAGGTCCAGCCTGAACCCCACATTCCCCACCCTGGGGGGAAGTGAGTCCCAGCCAAAAAAATAAAAATAAAAAAATATGCTGGCAAGTCTGAGGGAACAAAGCCAGGAAGACTTCCTAGAGGAGTGTGAGGTGACATTTGGGGGAGCCCTGGCCCCCGACTCAGCCTTCGTTCTTGGCCCCCTTCTGGCTTCCAGTGCAGTCTGTCTTCCATGCAGCCTTGGAGATCCACGTCTGGTCCTGCTTCTCCCCTCCTCCTCCTCCAGCCCCAAAGCTTCCAGCACCCTCAGACCCCCCACCCCACCCAACACAGGTGCTTTTTTCCCTCTGAACTCGCCATCCTCCCTCTGACCCCTCCCTCCTCCCGGTTCTTCCCTTCTGGGATGGCTCTCACCTAAGCAGGTGTCCCACCACCCTCCCTCCTAACCCTCCCCCTTTGAACCCCCCTCCCCCTGAGCCTCAAGTCCTAGCCCCTCCTCTTGCTCTCCACTACCCAGACTCCATCTTTTTTCCCTATTCCTTTTCTTGCTGTCTCCTCTCCGATCTCCAGTTTCCTCCAGTCTTTGGTGAATCCACCCACTCCTCCCCATTTCCGGTGCCGGCTGCTGCCTGTGCTGTTTCCTCTACCTGGAATGATTTCACCCCTTCCAATCTGGCTACGCCACACCTTGCCATTCATGTCTCACATTATTAAGTACCATAACAATAATTACTATTTATGTTGCACCAGGAACCACGCTAAATTCCTTCCATGTATTACTGGGCCAAACCCTTCTGTGGCCCTCTATGCTGGGCATTCCTTTTTACAAACCAAGAGATGAGGGCTGACAGATGGCAAGGGACCTGTAGGATGCACAGCTGGAGGGAGAAGCTGGACCTGAGAGGGCCAAAGACTAGCACCATGCTGGGCTGGGGCCTGTGTGCAGCTCCCAGTCCTCTGAGTCCCGGTACAGCCTTCTTCATGAAGGTAATAAACATGGTAATAAGCGAGACTACCATCTGTGTATCTGGAGATTCTACATAAATTAACCTTTCAAAATCCTACGGTGAGACAGGCATGGTAGCACACACCTGTAATCTCAAGACTTGGGAGGCCAAGTCAGGCGGATCTCGAGTTAGAAGCCAGCCTGTGCTATGTGGTGACTTCCAGGTCAGCTTGGACAAGAAGGTGAGGCCATCTTGAAAAAAACTAAATACACAAATTAGGAAAAGAAGTCCTTTAGCTAGGTGCCAGTGGCTCAAGTCAGTATCTAGCTATTCAGGAGGCAGAGATCTAAGGATTGTGGTTCAAAGCCAGCCAGGACAGGAAAGTCCCTGAGAATTATCGTTTTCAGCTCACCACCAAAAAGCCAGAAGTGGAGCTGTGGCTTAAGTGGTAGTGCACCTGCCTTGAGTGAAAAAAGCCTAAGGATAGTACCCAGGCCCGAGTCTCTGCAAGGACGCGGCAGGTGACAGGACTTGACAAACCTTCTGCAGGAAGCAGCTCTTTCCACCACCTCCCTGATATTCTTCCTGGGAGGTACTTGTGACCTCAGCAGCCAAGCCAGGAATCCCATCCAGGTTCCCCACACCCAGCACCCTGAACTTCAGAACCTGTCCCCAGCAGTGTGGCCCTGAGAGTGTGGATGTGACTCACTGGGCTCCCAGGCCTCACCCAGCACTAGGCCTGGTACCCAGGAGATTTAAGTCAATGTCTGATGAATGAATCAAAGAGTGGATGGACAGGGGATGAGGTGTCAGGAAAACAAAAGTCATGGTTTTATTGTTCTGCTTCTGGAAAGGGGCTCAAATGCGCCCCACCTCCCTTAACTTGGCTACCAAGTCCTCGGTGGTCTCCACCTTGACGCCGGCTGTGCGCTGAGGTGGGTCCTCCACACTGACCACAGAGAGCTTGGAGGTCAGGTCCACGCCTAGGTCTCCAGCCTTAATCACTTCGATCTTCTTCTTCTTTGCTTTCTGTACACAGGAAGCCTCAGCTCAGAGGACCGTGGAAGCCCCTGCCTGCCTTGCCAAAAGCTCTTCTCTGTGGTGTCACATCTATAGACCATACCCATGGCTGGGCCCTTAGGATCTCTCTAGGGGCCAGGACTACCCCTGGTGTGGGCAATTCCTGTTGACTAGAATGTCCTGAGAGGCTAACATTCCTCCTTAGGGGACCACAGCTTTTGGCTGAGATGATGCACTGAATCCTCACGGACTGAGCCTTCCCCACTGACCAAGATGACCACTAAACCTTACCCACCAGCTAGGCTCACTCACTGAATCCTCATTGGCTGAACTGACCCACTGAGCCCTCTCCATTGGATAAGATGAACATTGAACCTTCCCCATTGGCTGATCTGACCCACTGAGTCCTTACTGGCTGATCTGACCTACTGAGCCCTCCTTACTGGTTGAGTTGATCCACTGAACTCTCCTACTGGCTGAGATAGCCAATGGGATGGGTTTGGTGTATCATCTCATTCTGCTCTAGTGTAAAGCCTTAGAATCTCCCATTGACTGAACCCTCTCTATTATCTAGACTATTCCACCGAACTCAACAAACTTCCCATTAAATCCTTTGCTTTTGTGTGTGTGTGTGTGTGTGTGTGTGTCAATTGTGACATTTGAACTCTGGGCCTGGACGCTGTCCAGCTCAAGGCTAGTGCTCTACCACTTTGAGTCACAGCACCACTTCCCATTTTCTGGTGGTTACTTGGAGATAAGAGTCTCACGGACTTTCCTGCCCTGACTGGCAATCCTCATAGCTCAGCCTCCTGAGTAGCTAGGATTACAGGTATGAGCCACCAACCTCCAGCTGACCCTTCCCTATTGGCTGAGATGAAGCACTGAACCACCCCTATTAGCTGAGATAATGCACTGAACTTTCCCCATTGGCTGAGATGATACACTAAGTCTTCTTTATTGGTGGAGATGACCTACTGAACTCTCCATATTGACCAAGCGGAGCCAATAAACATCCTGCTGGCCATGATGATTAGTGAACACTTCTTCTTGGCTAAGAGAAAGCTATGTAAATCCTTTCTAATGTACCAAGATGGCCTACATGACAACTTCCTGATGGCAAAGATTACCAAAGGAACCTTCCCCAATGAACCCAGACCACTCAATTTTGCCAAGGTTGCCCGGGAAACTTCTTCCACTGGCTGGAACGACAAGGAGAGCCCTTTCTGTTACTCAGGAGGCCTTCCCATTGGCTATGGCAACCACCCAATTCTCCCTCCATCCCCGAATTCTCGGTATAGGCAGAGATATAGCCCAGCAGACGCTCTGCTAGGCAAGGTGACCAGGTGATCCCATCTTCTGGGCGCCTCCCTCCTCCCATCCAACCACGGCAGGACATACACTGCCCCTCCAGGTCCCACAGAGCTCTAACCCCTTCCCTGCTCACCATGATGTTGGGCAATGTGGCATAGCGGGGCTCATTGAGCCTCAGGTCAGCAGTCACCACAGCTGGCAGCTTCAGGCGTAGGGTCTCCAGGCCACCATCAATCTCCCGCTCCACTTTCAGCTTGTCACCTTCTATAGTCACCTGGGAGGCAAATGTGCCCTGGGGAAGCACAGAGAGAAAGAGGAAGAGAGTGGGTGAGGTTACTTAAGAGTCAGGCACAGGGTACTGGCTCGCCAGTGAGAATGTGGCAAGTGGAATGAGCCAATGAGAAAGCAGCAGATGGAGGGGAGCCAATGAAGATAAGACAGAGGTGAGCCAATGAGAGCACCAGGGGATGATATCACAATCCAGGCCTTACCTGCGGCCAGTCCAGAAGCCCCGCTGTCATCTGACCTGTCTGGTTACAGTCATCATCGATGGCCTGACAGGGGAGAGGGAAGGCTGTCTGATGGCTGTCAGGGCTTCTCACGGCCCTTGTAGGCCTCCAGAAGTCACAGCGATGGGGACTCACGCCTGTCATCCTAGCTACTCAGGAGGCTGAGAGCTGAGAAGCCTAGTTCAAAACCAGCCCAGACAGGAAAATCTGTGAGACTCTCATTTCTAATTAACCAGCAAAAATCTAGAAGTGGAAATGTGGTGCAAGAGGTAGAGCACTAGCCATGAGTGAAAAAGCAAAAAGACAGTGCCCAGGCTCTGAGTTTAAGCTCCAGGACTGGCACCAGCATGCGTGCACGCATGCACGCACACAACACACATACACACAAACACACACTCACACACCAGGGGTTGGCAACCTTTTTCCGTTATTGGCCTCAAAGAAAATATTTCAGGCTTTGTGAGTCATCTAATCCATGTCATAAGTACAGAGCAGAGTATAAGCAGCCAGAAGCACTGTGTCAATGAGTATATGTGTGGGTGGACCAATAAAACTTTATTGACAAAACAAACTATACCACGAGTCACAGTTTGCTGAGAGAAAGTGCAGAATGATTCCCTCTGGACCCAGAGATATGCAACCCCTGGTCCCCAGCCAGTGACAACACCTATACAAACACTCCCAGAAGTCACCAACATCTGGGACACCAAAATTATTCAATGAGACTTTGCCAATTGGGTCAGGAATGGTCACATGACTGCAGATGGGACCAGGGAGCTTGGGTGGAGTCCTTGGGGAAAAGGCTGTCTTCTTCCCAAGGGGAACACTAAGTCAGTGTGCTGTGAGCTACAGTTACAGACATTACTCTCTGTAACTGGAGATGGTGGTGCCACGTATGGACCTGGGACACACTGTGTCTGAAGTCCATTTAAATGAGCTACTCAACTTGCTCTTTTGTGGAGGCCAATGTGGTTAGTGAGTCTGCTTCCTGGCCCAAAGGGCATCCTGACCAGTTCATTTGGTCCCTGGTCCCAGAACAAAATAGCAAGCATGGTGCTGGGGCTCACACCACTCATCCCAGCCACTGAGGAGGATGAGATCTGAGGATCACCAATTTTCATGTTTCAAAGGCAGTAGTAATATCTACATTGTCCCAACACTTCCAGCCATGGGACTTTTGGATGACAAAACTCAGCAAATAAATAAATATGTAATAATCAAGTTTCTCCTTCCTCCTCAGTCCACTCTGCCAGGTCCCAGAGGGCATTGTTCTGTGTCGGGAGCTGAACCCCCTCCCTCTCCTTCTAGCTGACCTGCCCCGGCTCCAATATCTGTTCCACTCTCTCTGTGGAATGGAAACCCCTTCCTCCTCCCCCTCTGTCCTCTTGGCCTTGATCTGGGTCTCTCCTTTACTCCCTGGAGACCTAAACCACAGCCCCTGGTGTCTCTTCCAAGAGGACCTGACACCCAGAGTGACGAGGCCTCCTTGCTCAAATTCTCTGCCAGGGGAGGCAGCAAGCCCTAAGCTCAGTCCTGCTCAGCCCTGAAGGCTGAAGGTTGCTGCCCTAAGCCATCCACAGGGTCAGGCTGATCAGGCCTGTGGGAGCAGGGCTGGCCACAGGGGCAGGCTGATCGGAGCTGTGGATCAGATCTGGCCACACCTACCTGCTTGCCCATCAGTACCAGGTTCACCTTCTCCTTCTCTGCCAACTTGGCCAGGACCTTTGCCACCTGCAGGGGCCCCAAGTGATTGGCCTCTGCAGCCGGTATCTCCACATGGATACCCCGGTCTGCACCCATGGCCAGGGCCGTACGGATGGTCTCCTGCCAGGATAGAGGGTTGGCATAGCTTCTGTCACCAAAAGACTAAGCCTAGCTCCCAGTCCTCCTCCCTCAGACCCAGAGGTCCAGACCCCAGCCTCCTCCCTCAGACCCGGGGGTCCAGACCCAGCCTCCTCCCTCAGACCTGGGGGTCCAGGTCCCTAGGTCCCTGCACACCTGGCACTGGGAAGGGCCACAGCTGACCGCGATGACCTCCTTTACCAGCTTCTTCTCCTTGAGCCGCACAGCCTCCTCCACCGCGATCTCACAGAATGGGTTCATGGAGTGCTTCACACCGTCTGTGACCACCCCGGACTTGTCTGGCTTGACTCGGATCTGCCCAGCAGGAGAGAAGACAGGGTCACAGCAAAGCAACCAGAAGGCCGGGGCCTCCGTGCCAACCCCTCACCTCCCAGGCCATGGACCATGGTGAGCCACAAAAGGGCCTTGGCCAGGGCCAGGCAGCTTTGGGGCTATAGCTGGGTACCAGTTCCCAGTCCAGGCCAGGGCTGGGTACCAGAGAGATTGAACAAGTTCATTCCTACTGCTTGTCCATGCCTCAGGCTAGAAAATGACGTCTCAATCTTTCATTCATCCACATTCGAGCATATAAAAAGAAACACCCAAACACACCCTGACTGTGTGTGACACACCCTGTCATTTCCTATTGTTTTGGGTGTGTATGTATTGGTGCTGGGATTTGAACTAAAGACTTAGGCGCTGTCCCTCAACTTTTTTACTCAAGACTTGTGCTCTACCACTTAAGTCACAGCTCCACTTCTGGCCCTTTGCTGGATGATTGGAAGATAAAAGTCTAACAGACTTTATGTGCTGGCTGGCTTTGAACTGCAACCCTCAGATCTCAGCCTCCCCAGTATCTAGGATAATAGGCACGCGCCACTCATGCCCGGCTGCCAGGAGGGTTTTACAAGGTGCCTTCTGGCGGCTAGACCTTTGGCCCAGCACAGAAAACACAACAGGAACTGCTGCCAAGAACCATACAGGCTAGATAAGCCAGTCCAGGACAAACAAACCAAGATACCCTCATCCCAATTAACTAGCACAATGCCCAAAGTAAAGGTATGGCTCAAGTGGTAGAGCACCAGCCTTGAACAGAAAAATTTAAGGGAGAGTATGAGTTCAAGCTGAGTTCAAGCCCCAGTTCTGGCACAAAAAATAAGATAAAAATAGTTATTATTAAAAAAAAAAGGAAGAAAGAAGGAAAGGAATCAAGGAAAGAAGGAAGCAAGGAAGGGGGGAAGGAAGGAAGGATGGAGGGAGGGAGGGAAGGAGGGAGGAGAGGAAGGCAGGCAGAAGCAACATCCCTGCCATTGCAGCCAGGCCTTGCACTGCATAGGCCGTCGCGTCCTCCGGTGATATGGCTGTGAGTGGATGCTGGCACAGCAAAGGACACTGGGGAGTCTGGAACTGTTGTTTTTTTTTTTTTTTTTGCTCAGGTTTCAAATTTTTCTGCTGCTTATTAGCTGGGTGATCTGTAATAGGACCTTCTTGGGCCGTGTCCTCATTGATCCAATGAGCTAAAGTGTAGACAGGCTACAGACATGGTTCAGTCTTGTGAGAAGGACTTAGGGGTTCCTGGCACATGGTAAATACCCACTTCAATGTCATTAACGTTTTCAAACTTGAATCTGCCTGCTATACCCTTCCCCATCCCCACTTTACTTCCAGAGTAGGTAGGGACAAGATTAGCATCAACTTTGTAGCCAGGTTTCACCCACCCTGAGGGATGTCAGTCTCCCTGTGCTGAGTAGTGGTGGGAATGTAGAGGTAAGCTCCCTGTCTGATGGAGGAACAGCACTGAACAAAACCACTGCTCTCGGGGGAGGGTGGGAAGGGATGGGAAGGGGAAACAAAGGAGGAGTCTACAATGCTTGATAAGAATTGGGTGGCGGGGGGAGGCTGGGAAGGGATGGGAAGGGGAAACAAAGGAGGAGGCTACAATGCTTGATAAGAAATCTACTCATTATCTTGTTCATGTAATCATAACCCCTCTGTACAGTATTTTCACAATAAAAATAAATAAAAATTTAAAAAAAGAAATGTACTCATTATCTTGCCCCTGTAATTGTAAGCCCTCTGTACAGTATTTTCACAATAAAAAAAAGAAAAAAGTAAAATTTTATAAGCCAAAAACAAAAAAAATACAAAAAAACCACAAAAAACAAAACCATTGCTCTCTGCTCGGTGTAGGCCAAGCACTGACTGACGATAGTCTGGGAACAGCTGTCCCCTACCCATGTCCCAGCTAGACCAGCAGGGTCCCCAGCTCCAGATCCATCAAGTTGGCCTTTGAACTCTCCTTTCAAGCAAACAAAAGATCGAGCTTTCTTGCTCACCCTGTAATTATGAGGGTGGCAGACCGTTTCTGGGTTCCAGAGGCCCTGTCTGACTCCCATGATGGCAGATCTGGGGTGCTGTGCGATTCAAGTTGAGCACTAAGAATACAACTTAGCTCCTGTGCAAAGTCTGAGCCCTAGTGCAGGAATCTCAGGATCTGGCGCGGACTCTGTGTTCTGCTCCCCATCCTCCCTTCATCTGAGGGACCCTTTGTGCCTCAGTTTCTCCGTGTGTTAAACAGGGTCTCTGACTCCTCCAGCTCGTAAGAAATAGAAAAGCTAAATCGTCCTCCAGAGCCGAGTCCGGAGCCAGGGAAAGATAGCGGGGGGGGGGGG